TCCACTTGCATGTGTCTCATGACAGGATGCTCACTGCCTCACAGGACAGCCTGCCTTACTGCCTAGCAGCTTGAAGTGTAGACAGGGCTTCCTGAGGCGCAGTCAAGAGCTGTTGCCTTGGAAATCCCCCCAGCTGGTCCTGATTTGGTGCCTGCAGAGTCACACAAAATAAGCCCAATTCTTTTCCAGGCTACAGCCCCTGCCTTTAATTATGGAAAGGCTTAACATCCTCCATATGTTGATGCTTTGCTTTCTTTTTCACTTATGAATGTTTTTCCTTGTTTTATGTTTATTTCCTCTGCAAAGATGTATAAAGCACCTCCTTTGTGCCAGGGATTCTGTGAGGTTCTGGGGTCACAAGGGTGAACGAGAGAACCATGATTCCAGTTCTTAGGAAACAGAAAAACCAAATGGGTCAGATAGGTGATGATGATGGTGGTGATGACGACGATGATGATTGCGGTGAAATCCACATGGCATGTGATGATACATAGTGCATTCACAGTCTTGTGCAGTCACCACCTCTCTCTAGTTTCAGAACTTTTTCATCACCCCGAAAGAACACCCCATACCCATTAAGTGATTAGTCCCCATTTCCCTTTTCCATCCATCTCCTGGCAACCTCAGATCTGCTTTCTATCTCCATGGGTTTCCCTATTCTGGCTCTTTCATATAAAAGGACATTTTGTGTCTGGATTCTTTCACTTAGCATAATGTTTTCAAGGTTCATCCATGTTGTAGCATGTATCTGTACTCTATTCTTTTTTATGGCTGAATAGTATTCCATCATATGGATATACACACTTTGATTATCTGTTCATCCAGGATGGACATTTGGGTTGTTTTCACCTTTTGACTATTGAAGAATGCTGTTATAAACATTTATTTACAAGTTTCTGTGTGGACCCGTTGTCAATTCTCTTGGATATATATCTAAGCTGGATTTCAGGAGCATGTAGAAATTCTATATTTAAGTTTTTGAAGACCTACCAAACTGTTTTCCACAGTGACTGCACCATTTTATGCTCTCAGCAGCAATCCATGATGGTACCAATTTCTCCACATCCCTGCAAATAATTCTTATCTTCATTTTAAAAAATTACAGCCATCCTAGTGCATGTGAAGTGGGATCTCACTGTGGTTTTGGTTTTCATCTCTAACGACCACTGATGTGGAACACCTTTTTCTGTACTCGTTGGCCATTTGTATCTATTATCTGGAGAGAAGTCTGTTCAAGTCATTTGCCTATTTTTAAATTGGTTTGTGTGAAGCTTAATTTTATGTGTCATCTCAACTGGGCCATAGGATGCCCAGATGTTTGGTCAAACATTATTTTGGATGTGCCTTTGAGCGCATTTTCGGATGAGCATGACATTTAAATTGGTTGACTGAGTAAAGCAGATTATCTTCCCTAATGTGGGTGGGCCGCATCCAATCAGTTGAAGGCCTAGATAGAACAAACAGGCTGGCCTTCTTGTGCAAGAGAATTCCTCAGCCTGACTGCCTTTGAACTGGAACACTGGCTTTTTTCTTGCCTTCAGATTGACTGGAACTACACCATTGGCTCTGTTGGGTCGCCAGCTTGTCTATTAACCCTGCAGATCTTGGAACTTGTTAGCCTGCATAATTGCATGACCCAATTTTTTCTAGTAAATTATATATATAAATTATATTTTATATAATATGGAGATATACACATATATAGAGAGGTATCTCCAGTTGACTCTGTTTCTCTGGAGGACCCTGACTACATCAGGTTGTTTGTGTTTTTTTGTTGCTGAGTTGTAAGACTTCTTTATATATTCATGACACTAAACCCTCACCAGATATAGGAGTTGCAAATATCTCCTTCCCATCAGGAAGATGGATTATGAAATGGATTAGGTGTGGATGGAAGCACAAAGCTGGAGTCCCTCTGAATGGAAATTCCACAAGCACAGGCCTCATCTGGTTTATTTATTGTAGGATCCCCCTCCTCCCCACTGTGCCTGCACATAGTAGATGCTCAGTAAAGGGTCATAAGTGAAAATGAGCAAGTAAACTTTAGTGTTCAGGAGGAGCAGAGAAGGCTTTCCAGAGGCAGCCTCATTTGGCTGAGGATTGAAGCTTTCATAGGACTTAGCCAGACAGGGAAGAAACAGTGGTCCAGGCTGAAGGCGTGGCCTATGGGAAGGCCCAGAAGAAAGAAAGAACTTGGCAATTTCGAGGAATGGAGCATCCTGTCTAGCCGGAGCAGAGAATGTGGGGATAACTGCAGGGCTGGAAGATTGAGTTGGGGCGGGGGTGATAGGAGAGTGCTGGCAAGGCAGTGAGAGAGGAGAATGCTGAGGTTGGAAGGGGTCAGACACAAAGGGCTTTGGAGGCTGTTAAGGAGTTTGAGGACCTCTGAGAAAGAGAGAGGAAGCTCAAAGCAGTGAAGTGTTAATGAATGGCTGGAAGCCATAGGAAGTCATCTCCTGCAGAAGATGCAGGGGAGGCAGGAGGACATGGGCTCTGGCTCTGGATCCCGGCTCCTCGTGGTTTGAATCTTGGTTCTGTCCCCTATCAGATGAAGACTAGGGTCAAGCAAATGGGGCTTGACATCTCAGCCAAGATACTTACGCTCCATTTCCTCATCTACAAAATAGGGATAATGAGGATACCCTGGTTTGAGTGCCACCACACATAGGGCAGCCTACCCTTGGCCCTTGGGAGCCTCAAATCTGATCCCCATCAAGCCCCAGATGCAGACAGACCCTCTACCCCTTCCCTGAGAAGGTGCAGGAAAAGTGGAAACAGGTAATTCAGCTGAGGGCCCATTGGAATGCGGTTTGGGGTCCAGGCTGGCTGCTCAGGCCCTTCTCTGGCTGGACCGATGGAGGAAGAGGCAAGGTAGGCAGAGAGTATCCCACTGCGAACCGCCGCCCACAAACGGCCTCCTGATTCCTATATAAGGCTGAATGTCAGATTCACCCAGTTCGAATGTTCCCCGGCTAATGTCCCTGCAGGGGCCCTGGGGGCATTTTTACTGTGAGAGGCTGAGCCAGGAGACTGAATGCTCTGGGAAGAGTTCTCAAAATTACTATGATGACTCAGGGGAATGCTTCTAAAGTGCTTGGCTGTGTAGGGCACAGTAATCATTCAAAAATTATTTGTTGAGTAGATGAATAAATGTTTTCAACATCCATTTTTCTATCTTCATTTTTATTAGCTGTGGTTTGGGCAAATTATGTAACCTCTCTGAACCTCAGTGTTTTTCACTTGTTGTCTTCTTTGGAGGGTCATGGTCTGGATTAAGAGGTGGTGTACACAAAGCATCTGGCACAAAGTCAGTGCTAAAAGGAGGAAGAGGTAGATGTGGATGGCTGCTCTTTCCAGCCCCAGAACTGGAGCCTGGCACAGTCATATTCTCCAAGCCTGTGGTTGAAAGAGGAGTGACTTTCCCCATCCATCCTTCCCACTTCTGGT